ACCAGGCTTGTAGCTATTTCGACACTCGTTATACGGAGCCATCGCGATGCCCTGCACTGCACAAGCTTTTGAGGGGAAAGTTATCGGCAGCCTTCACAAGCATCCCTATAGGCGTCCAAGGCAGCTGTTGGAAACGCAACTCACGGAAGCATCTAGCCCAAACCTGACCTTCCCAGCCCGTTCCTGTATCCTTATCCGGTCTTTCCAAAGTAGCCCCTTTACAGCTTTCCAGTCCTTGATCCAAACAAAACTGTCGAGTGCACATGCTGCAAGGAGAGCTCTTGGATCCTGGTGCGCCCGCAAATAGAGGCACGATGGTCGTGTTTGTGCTGAAGCAGGTACATTTGCACAAAAAGGGAGAGTCGAGAGCGTTTGTGCTGGTTGAGAGTATGAGAAGGAGGCAGAGGAGCAAGGTCGGGAGGTGCGTTGCGCGCAGAGACGCACAAGTCCAAATTCGTCGCAGTCCAAGCGTCGTGTTGCAGGATCGGATGCGCATGATGAGAAATGTGTGTCTGCAGGACTTTCCTACACAAGCTGAGATGCGAACGGTAACGCAGCGCTAATGGGCCCGAAGCCTTCGATGATGGTCGAATGGAATGCTCGGGGGCCTGTATGCGTGCCCAGATTGACAGGATGCAGCGGATATCCAATGCGAGTCACAGGCGCAGCGGTGGTGGACTGGTGAACAACCATGAATGTGGACGAATGCCAGTCGTGAGTCTCGCTTTGCAAGAATTAAGCAGTCGTGAGTCCAAGTTGTAAACGTGAAAGCGTCAAGCTCGATCAAAAGTCGCGAATCTTGAGTCGTGAATCTGCCATCGAATGATTGCATCCACGTGATCCTCGACTTGCTTGTACACTGATGCGGCGCACGGACCGCGCCTACTGCGTGGAAATCGAGAATCCATCTTAGTTTCTGATTTGATTCAAATTCTTGATTTGATTGCACAGACCTTCCACGTTGCATGCAACCAGCGTGGCTCACAACGGCTCACCCTGGGTAATCTTAATAGCTGACACCATCCGTCGCACTCCGCACAACCAATTCTAAACTTCCCTGTCGGCCTCGGGTCGCAAGTCAAGAGTGTTGTCGCGCGGGTCCCTCAATCCGCAAGCGCAGCAGGGAAGTAGACAAGGGCAGGATATATATGACAAAGGTTCGGTTCAAGCGTCCACCTCCCCTCCCCTCCCACATTGCGACATGGACGTGCTGCTCACGCTCTAGACGAGCTCGACTTCCAAGCTCGTCAACCAAGGCTAGTGTTCCTGGCGACACATTCCGAATTCGAACTGAGGGTCCGCAAAAGCCGCTCAGCATGCCTCGGCATACTCAAAGCCAAGTGTTGTACTACGGAACCATCTTGGTGCCCGTCACAGCCTCCCTCTTCCTCCTCTTGCAAGCCCATCCTCATCTGCTCGACATCTCCTCTTACTCTCAGGCATCCTTGCCAGGCCTATTTGCCAGCGTTCTGCTGCTGCCCATTGCAGCTTTGTTGACCAGGGCGGCTGTACTGGGTTGTGCTGATGCGTTCCTCAAGAGAGGGTTCAAAGGCAGGGATCTGCTTAAACCTTGGGAGGCGACAAAGGAAATGTGAGTTTAAGGGCAGGACGCCAGGTGTTCAGGGCAAGAGAGCTGGATAGATCCACCACAATTCTACGAAGATGAGCGGTGCTGCTGTCCACGCGTTCAATGCGTGTGAGATGCTCGCCGAGGTTCGCTGAGGTTCTCATCCCTCTACGCTATGCCGCGCACATACAGTCCAGAATCGGCGGGTTTGCCAGCATCCATAGTCTACGTCGGTCTGTTGTTCCTCCTGATCCCTTTCAGATACGCATCCAACACTGCTCCTTCTCCGCCAGAGAGAGCTGGAGATGGAGCGTGGATTGGCGAAATCACTGGCATAGAAAGGTTTCCTCATCACGAGCTTTCCTTGTACCTCTCCACCTTGCTTTCGCTCTTATCAGCCATCATGCTAGGTTTCTTGGACGACGTGTTCGACATTAGATGGAGATTAAAGATGCCCATTCCGATACTCGCCAGTCTTCCCATGCTCGTCGTCTACTTTGCAGGAGGCGGTGGGACGAGCGTGGTAGTGCCGAGCTGGCCCCCGCTGCTCAGGGCTACATTTGGAATTGTGGTAGATCTGGGTGAGTAGTCATGTCGCTATGCTCGGACCATCATGCTACGCCACGAAAACCAAAGCTGACTCCCTGCACCAATCAGGGCCGTTGTATTACCTCTTCATGTCGCTGCTGTCCACCTTTAGCGTGCACAGCATCAACATTCTGGCTGGTATCAATGGACTGGAGGTGGGCCAAGCACTCATCATAAGCCTATCTCTGTGCCTCAATTCCGCTCTGTATTTGGATCCCAGAGCAGGCCAAGCGGGCAGCTTTGCGAGCAGGGAGCTCAGAGATAGGCATTTATTCAGTTTGAGTCTGCTGCTACCCTTTTCCGGCTGCTGCGTCGGACTCTTGGCTCTGAATCGGTGAGTGAATGCGCCAGCTTTCAATTCAAGATTCCATCCAGCATCCGGCAAGGGGCGCTTCTGATCCTTGCTCGACGCATTTGCAGATATCCTGCCAGAGTGTTTGTTGGGGATACGTGGTGCTATTTTGCTGGCCAAGTCTTGGCTTGCGCCGCCATCTTGGGCCACTTTAGCAAGACTTTGCTACTCTTCTTCATTCCTCAAGTCTTTAACTTTCTGCTGTCGTGTCCTCAGCTTTTCGGACTAATCCCTTGTCCCAGGCATCGGCTTCCCGTGTGCGTAGAATTGCGCTCCCAAGGCTGGACCTGTTAGACACGTCTGGCTGATGATCGTCATCACCTCAACACAGGGCTCTTCCTGATGGCTCGCTTACGCCTTCGGTCGCCAAATGCACCCCGGCACTCGCTCATTCAGCACCCCTAACGACCAAGGCTGGATTGTCAAGGCTCATCCTTTGTGTATTGGAGACGCTGAGATTGGTGCACTTGACTCGCGACTCTGTAGGGAACATAGTCCAGACGACCAACTTGACGATCATCTGCGCCACGTTGGTCCTTTGCGGCGTCACTCCCTCGAGCATCTCATCGTCGCGGCTCGTGAGCTCCGGACAGGAATCAGGCCCGCAGCCTGATGAGAAGAGCTCCGCGAGCGTACCTGAAGTTTCAAGCCGAGGGTCAGACCCAAACGAGCAGGGCAGGAGAAGCAAAGGTCCAAGGATAGACGAGCCTACTCTGTGGACCCTGTTGATGCTTATACAATTGACGGGATCCGCATTCGCATTCGCCGTGCGGTACTGGATAGCCAAGATTGTATTCTCTGCGACTTGCTAAACCGCTCGGCTCGACCACACCAATCCCCTCGTTCTAGTCATCCCTGAATGCAACCATAATATACATGTGATCGTTGATGTTGTGATTCGGCAGATGTGGATGGAATTTGTGGAAATTTTAGACGAGCGCGCAGGTCTTGAGTGGCGGATGCGAGACTGTTAGATCGCCCCTTGATCAGATGAGATGCGCGCCTCTCGCGCCATCCACCAGTCCGTGTCCCATCCATCAAAGATGAGACCCAGCTCCCTTTTTGCAGATTCGGTCGAGTCTGATTAGCAAAGGCGGGCGCCGGAGAAAGATGATGGGCAGTGTCAGCGTTGCGGGCCATGCGAAGCGAATCCGACGCGCCAATCGAAGCTGACGGTCTGACTTTTTTGTGAAGCAGGAGCAAGCAAGCAATTTCTGCGAGCAGACACCCTTCTTCCTCTTGCCTTCACTGCCGCCGCCGCCGTGCTAACGTGATGCGTTCGCCCTTGAACATGGGGACATGGAACTCACCACTTCCGTGAAAGCCGTTCCTTGTATCCGTTATGCCGTACCTACCCCGCAAAGTTTGCGGCGCTTCCCACTTTGTCCTGCAAGCTTTCGTAGCGCCCAGCATGCCCCTCCATGCCTTGATGGAGTTGGGACCGTATAGGGCCAAGCTCAATGAAGGGCCGCTGTTTACGTGTCATGTGCCACAAGCAAGAG